TAATATTGTTGGATTACATACCCCACAGCAGCTGCTTAATATTGTTGGATTACATACACCACAGCAGCTGCTTAATATTGTTGGATTACATACACCACAGCAGCTGCTTAATATTGTTGGATTACATACACCAAAGCAGCTACTTAATATTGTTGGGTTACATACACCACAGCAGCTGCTTAATATTGTTGGATTACATACACCACAGCAGCTATTTAATATTGTTGGATTACATACACCAAAGCAGCTACTTAATATTGTTGGATTACATACACCAAAGCAGCTACTTAATATTGTTGGATTACATACACCAAAGCAGCTACTTAATATTGTTGGATTACATACACCACAGCAGCTATTTAATATTGTTGGGTTACATACACCACAGCAGCTGCTTAATATTGTTGGGTTACATATACCACAGCAGCTGCTTAATATTGTTGGGTTACATATACCACAGCAGCTGCTTAATATTGTTGGGTTACATATACCAGATATAACACAGATCAACAAGTTAAAAAAAATGTGTTATACACACAACAATAAGGTATACATAAACAAAGTTAACAACAATACAATCTGGATAATAAATACGACATGGTATAAATTAACATATTTAAAAGCAGTTAATAACAGATTATCGTGGATAAAAAAAAAAGGAAGTGTAGAGCTCATTCTTTATATTTATGTAAATTGTTAAAATAAAAAGTAGTATTAAAACATAAAATCCCCAGCAGTGCTCGAATTGAGAGGGAAACGAGAGGAGCGCTGTTCCCATTCCTAATACAAATATGAATTCTGTCCCCTATGTTAACAAAATCACGAGTATGGAAGGGGGGGGGGACGTTTCGAGAGTGAAATTGTCCCGACTGAGGCACGCGTGTATACAGCTAAAACTGTATCGATTCATTTTGTTCTATATGTCCCCCGGTGGGACAGCGGTAGTTTTCCGGACTTACAACACTAAAATCTGGGGTTCGATTCCTCGCGGTGAACACAGCAGAAAACATAATATGGCTTTGCTCTAAAACAAACGAACTGTTCCATATATTATCTCCATCAACCGTTGGATAAAATTGGCTTTTAGTTTGATCGTAATGTTTGTTTATGTAAGGTTACTGTGAAATCTTAATTTTGATCTAATTAGTGGCTGACCAACAAGGTAATAATTTTGTGGTTACTCAATCCATAGCGTTTTATTATAGTTATCAAACGGTTTAGTTACTCAATCCATAGCGTTTTATTATAGTTATCAAACGGTTTAGTTACTCAATCCATAGCGTTTTATTATAGTTATCAAACGGTTTAGTTACTCAATCCATAGCGGATAACTATAATAAAACGCTATGGATTGAGTAACTAAACCGTTTGATAACTATAATAAAAAAACGGTTTAGTTACTCAATCCATAGTTTTATTATAGTTATCAAACGGTTTAGTTACTCAATCCATAGTTTTATTATAGTTATCAAACGGTTTAGTTACTCAATCCATAGTTTTATTATAGTTAGTTGACACCTAATTAAAGAATAGTTTCTGAACATCCACTTTAATAAACTATAACACAAACAGAGAATGAATGTTCCACGTTTCTAGCACACAAAACTAAAATCATTCTAATGTGATATCCGCCACCTGGTAAGCTTGAGGGCTTATAAAATTAACGTTTGAGGCTCGATCCCCGCGATTTACACAACACACATAGCCCATTGCGCAACCTTGCGCTTAACAACAAACAAAATAGTTATATCGACGTTACATAAAGATATAAATAAAGAAATATACCAGCCAAATTCAAGAAAACACAATAGAGTTATCAGGCACATTTGCTGTTCATCGTAAAAACCCAAAACTACTTTCGAAGAATGCGAGTAATATTCTAGTTTTTAAACTTATATAGCAAGAAAACAAACCACGTGTTCCGCTCGTTATTAATATAAAAAAATATTTGGTAAGGCTAAAATTAACGAGGGAGGGCTGTTGAATATTTCGTTTTCGTGAATTGTCTGCTTTGTTTCACAGTCATCAATATGAGTTAGGCCTTGTCAAAACTATGAATAAAGGTTATCAGGATAACTTAGGCCTTGTCAAAATTATGAATAAAGCTTATTAGTATGAGTTAGGCCTTGTAAAACTATCAATAAAGGTTATCAGGGTAACTTAGGCCTTGCCAAAACTATGAATAAAGCTTACTTGTATGAGCTAGGCCTTGTCAAAACTATCAATAAACGTTATCGGCCTCGTCTAAACTATGAATAAAGGATATCAGTATGAATTAGGCCGTATCAAAACTATGAATATTTTCACGAATGTGTCTTCTGAGACGCAAGGTACCTTATTCTTGTAAACATTCTTTAAATATAATATGTTTTCTTGTATTGCAAGTTTTTAATAGCAAAGACACCCGGCAAGTGCGGCTTAAGCGATGACATTATCTAGGCCGCTCCCTTCCACTGTTTTGAGCCGTAGCACAAGAACCGTTCGTCCCATGCAAAGGTAATTGTGTTACGTGCGGTTTAAATGTAGCTTTCATTTGACGTAGGTTCCATGTATTTTGTTACCGATCTCCTCACTTAATTAAGCACTTATCCGTAGAATTAAGGCGGTAAAGTTCGAACCACTCATCCAATTGCTTATGTATTTAAACTTCATCTTTGGAGGGTCTACCCGAGTTTTAAAACCAAGTATCATTGAAATTGATTCATCCAATACTTCAAAACAACTTGTAACAACAGATAGACGAACTTTACTTTACTTCAAAACAACTTGTAACAACAGATAGACGAACAACTTTACTTCAAAACAACTTGTAACAACAGATAGACGAACAACTTTACTTCAAAACAACTTGTAATAACAGAACAACTTTACTTTAGACAGATGGATTTTCAATCCTTGGCAAACCTTAAAACATTTAGTTCCCCAACTTAAAATGATAATTCAAAGTCTTCCATGCCATGCCCCCTGGTGATTCGTTCATATACGTGTCTATAGCGAACCAAGTGAAAAGTGTACACAAGGACTTCAAAGCTCATGCAAAGTTAATCCAACATTAGCCACTCTGCCTATAAAGTGAAGTAAAGATATGACTAATGTAACTCTAAATATTCAGGTGCATGTGCTGTTACTTGCCATAGAAATAACGAGTATTATCTTAAGCAAACACACCAATTCTGACATTTGTAATGTAACTCTAAATATTCAGGTGCATGTGCTGTTACTTGCCATAGAAATAACGAGTATTATCTTAAGCAAACACACCACTTCTGACATTTGTATATAAAACATAAAAATTTAACAAAATTGAGCGAATTAAATATTTACGGCAACTGGAAATAATGATATGACTTCTACCATGTCAAGAAGAAGTAATTAAAACTGACTTTAAATAATATAAGATCATAACTTCAAACCTAGGCCATATTTTAAAATATATCATTGAATACAATCGATTATTGTATAACTGTAAAACTATCTTATATATATATTGTAAATGATATCTCAGAACTTTATATATATAAAATTACCTTTTCTAGTTCTAAAAGATGAAACCGCAACACTTGTATTGCTTGAACCATCTGAAATAAACATGAAGAATTAACTTAACACATGTAAACAGAAATCCTGATTCATTTTATTTCATTTTACAGTATGGCAAGTAAACATTCACATAAACAAAACGAAATGCCAAATCATTAGAATACTTGATAGATAAATATAAAAAACTCGAAATCTTTCGACATCGTATCGTTTAAGTTAAGCCTAACACAGCTACCAGTACTGGAAGTTAAGCCTAACGCACAAAGTTTACGTAGCTACCAGTACTGTCAACATTTCAGTAAATAGAAGTCACACATTGACATGAATAATTGTTGAGTGTCGAAATAAACAGGCCTCAGGTCATGCACATGAAAAGTGCAATAAAAACACACATTAAACTAGTAAGTTTATCGGATAACGGGAATAAATGGATTTCAAAAGATAATATTTATAACAGACTGTTTGTTTTTCTTCTCTTTTTAAACTTCAATATGCTGAAATACAAATGCTCTATGAAAAGCAAAACCCGCGCGCGTCACGTAAATTAGAAAGGAACGCAATTTCAAATGGTCAAGACAACCAATAAATATTATCGTTGGCAACCGTTGCTCAAGCAGTGACGTAAGTATGCCCCACAGCCCCCGTAATTGCAGGGGGGAGCCAAGCCAAAAGGGGGCCCGAAGGGCTTCACAAACTTAAGAATTGCTGACAAGGGGAGAGGCATAAAATTTAATTTGTTTGAACTAAAGAGCGGTTGTTCTATTCTGTTACGTCAATGATGTCAATCAGCCAGAATCGTAACTAGAATTTTAGGGAAGTATATGTAACGGGCCTAATTACTTAACTGGAAAATATATACAAGCTTTATTCTTAGACGGTTTTCTTAAAATAAACAACATGATGCAGAAATGAAAATAATTGTCTACGAATCACAATTATTCAGCGAAAATTAAAGAAATAACATCCACACCGTCACCGAACGACAATCCTGTCAGCTCTAAATTGAAAGAAAATATTTTCATTTCAGTCATTAATTTTGTTTTAATTAATAGATAATTTAAATATGAATATGCGAAGTAATTAAGTGACCTAATTATGCTGATGCAGAACGTAAAGTGTATTAAAATTAGATATTTTAAGTACCCCGGTGGGTCAGTGGGAAGTTTAGGAACTTACAAAGCTAAAATCCGTGGTCAAATTCTCGGCGATGGACACAGTGCAAATAGTCAATTGTGTAGCTTTGCTCTAAGAACGCAATAAATATTTTCAATTTTAAACATAAACTGGTTTATTTAATATTTTAAAAACTATGTTGTTTTTTTTTTTATCATGTCTTAGTATTTAAGTAAGATATTTTAATAAACTCAGATTTCAATATATTTTTTTTTTTACACTAGTCACTGAAGGTTTCATTATGCATGCCGCCACCCAACCTAATATTTGGGTATAACTACCACGCGCGGTAGTAGTGGGCTATTGACCTCTCTATATCCGGTAAGAGCGATACAGCTTGCTTTTATAGAAACAGCTGTACAATGGGGTTATATGCTATGTAAAAAGAGGGGGGGGGGTATCATTACAGTTTTAGTATGCCAATGAGTGATGCTTGCGATAAAATTGATATGATCTGTGTCATTTTGTACTAATATGCTGTTTAACTTGTTTCTTGTAAATACTTGACAAAACTCACTCCTTTGTACGTGTTTCGCTTAAAGGTTTCAACCGCTTTACACAATACTATTCAATTGTCCTGTCCTAAGTGTAATAGTGGGTGTTATTATTACCCCAATCACATGATTAGCGAAAGCCAATAGGATTCCTTCATAATTGTGATTTTCATTCACAGCGGTGACTGGAATAATTCTCTATAAACATGTAAAATAAAGCAGACACGTTTTGCATGGAGAAAGACTTTGTTTTAAGATAGCTTTTTTTTTAGATTTGTCGATAAATGGCTAATCAAACAAGAACGTGGCGTGAACACATAAGTGATCCATTTATAACTTTAATATTGACCTACCTAAAGTATTGACTGAATTCAAAGGGGCAGCGTTATGAGTATATATATATATATGTATTTAAACGATTCTAACTCTGATGATTTCATAACCTTGTCATAAAATTCGGAGACAACTAATTACATAGAGTGGAGGAGGAGTCAGAAAAAAAAAATGTGGTCATTATTTCTCTAGTAAAGGAATTACTCTCGTTGAAGCAGACCAAATAACTAGCCTAATCATCCGAATATTATGCCTTACGACTTTCCTCGGGTAACCGATCGCTCATGATCGATTCCGATCAGCCACAATCGATTCCAAAGCTATTTAATAAATGGCCCGAATGAGCTGCAGTTTAAGTTGGTTAGTTATTGTCGTTTCTGGAATGATAAGTTGATTATTTAATACACGTCATTGGTCTCACTCACTATAGCACAATAGAAATGCAACACTAAGTAGTAGTTAAAAAAAAACAAAGAGAAAATAACCTTAAAGCGTAACCTATAATGTTAGAAAATAATATATATTAATCTTAGTTCCGTGCATATGAACATACATACATACATACACACATACATACACACATACATACATATATATATATACACACACACACACACACACACACACATACATACATATATATATATACGAAACAGAAACGGATAAATTCATATCTCACTCCCTAAACACAGCTCGACGAGAAAACTTAACATATGTCTACCACGTAAACTAACCTTTTAGTATATTTATCGCAGAATTACCAACCTCCTATAGTACACTGTTCACACATCAAAATCAATTAACTTTCAAAAACCGAAACTTCATCCTATTATCATAAAATGATCAGTTGGAATTGTTCACACATCGAAATCAGTTAACTTTCAAAAAACGAAACTTCAACTTATTATCATAAAATGATCAGTTGGAACTGTTCACACATCAAAATCAGTTAACTTTCAAAAACCGAAACTTCAACCTATTATCATACAACAATCAGTTGGAACTGTACACACATCGAAATCAGTTAACTTTCAAAAACCGAAACTTCAACCTGTTATCATACAACAATCAGTTGGAATTGTTCACACATCGAAATCAGTTAACTTTCAAAAACCGAAACTTCAACCTGTTATCATACAACAATCAGTTGGAATTGTTCACACATCGAAATCAGTTAACTTTCAAAAATTGAAACTTCAACCTATTATCATACAATAATCAGTTGGAATTGTTCACACATCGAAATAAGTTACCTTTTAAAAACCGAAACTTCAACCTGTTATCATAAAATGATCAGTTGGAACTACTTCTTTTACCGACTTCTGCTTCTTGTCTTTCTACACACATAAAAATTCATTAAAACTAATATTGTAAACCTTAGCGATTAGCGAGAGGTTTATTCATTTTTTCCCCTATTAGCCTACATGAGATCAAAACTGAAGAGCTGGTTAAAGTACAGGTAAATAATGCCATGAAATCCTCATACAACTTTTAACAAATTACATGTTTGGTCTTCGGTATGTTTGAACATATTTGATCTTCACACATGAAGTTCGAAATGATTTTTTTTTTTTACTCATGTCATTAATTATGTTTTCGTTTCAGCAATTCGTTCTAAACCTCACAAAACAACAACTTAACTTGTACTATAAGATTAAAACACATAATACATTTACAAAGGTACATAATACGTAAAGTACATACACACAGATAGAAGTACACTTACCAAACTGTCTAATTCTGGATTAGGAACATAATATGGTTTTTCTTGTCTGATCTGCAAACAAATAAATAAATATCAAACAATAAGTCGCCAACAAATGTGATAACTTTGAAGATAGAATATATAATTATTTCTATACCAAAGAACAAATACATTTTTCGCGCGCTAACACAGCACAGAAGAACCGAACAGGACACGAGCTTTGTATGGCAAATAAGTGGATAAAACAGGAACACAGTTTGGACCTAAAAAACAATTAAATAGTTAAAATACAGTTGTTTAGGATTTTTAAAAAAATAATAACTTGTGTACCGTGGCATTCACTTCTTTGTGCGCGCGTGTGTGTAAATGATAAAGCCACTAGAAAAAAAAATAGTTTGATTGATCTAAGTTATAGCAGTTTTGTAACTATGTATATATATAGAATGAAACGTTAGTGATCTGAAAATGATATAAGTTAACATAGACACATCGACAGCAACATAATTTTATCGTCAACCTTATTCTCATTTGGTTGCAGACGTACTTCTATCAGAAGTGTAAAATAATACATTATTGTGTAAGATATCAACATTGTCTACATTATTGTGCAAGATATCAACATTGTCTACATTATTGTGCAAGATATCAACATTGTCTACATTATTGTGCAAGATATCAACATTGTCTACATTACTGTGCAAGATATCAACATTGTCTACATTATTGTGTAAGATATCAACATTGTCTACATTATTGTGTAAGATATCAACATTGTCTACATTATTATGCAAGATATCAACATTGTCTACATTATTGTGCAAGATATCAACATTGTCTACATTATTGTGCAAGATATCAACATTGTCTACATTATTGTGCAAGATATCAACATTG